ATTCTAATTTTACTATCTGTGCGCATATACGGATTTGACCAGACTATCTCCCGCGGACATCCTGACAGTGCAGATGCTTTGTTGATCTGACTCCTCAGGTCCTTTACTAGGTCGTGGGTACTTGATATATCTATGCCCAGATATCTGAATTGCATCACCTGTTCTATGGGGTTGTCCTCAACCACTAACTTACATATTGTTCTGAAGCTATTTTCTTGTGGCATTGTAAATTAATTATTATTTATAAATTGAAACGTCAATAAACGTATTTTTATCTTTAATTGTGGCTTATTCCCAGTTATAAATAATAATTCACTAACTTACATCTGAGCGGATCTTTTGCTATTGTCATAATTTAGTTTTGTTGGTAGAGATGTTCATATTTAGTAGTCGGCTTGTTTGAAAGAACTGAAAGAGCTGCCTTTGGAGATCATCTTCTGATTCGGTAATAATTGCTGCATCGTCTGCGTAACACACCATACCAATTCTTTTGTTGCCCATTCTATATCCGAGATTAAGAGATGTTACTTTGTTGATAATTTTGCCCATGAGAAGATTAAACAAGAAGGGACTTAAACTGTCGCCTTGTCTAATTCCTCCCGGTGTTGGAATATTTTCAGTGAATTCGTCTCCTGCTCTAACTTTGGTTACGTTGTTGTTATTTAGTTTATGGAGTATCTTTGTTATACTGGTCGGTTTTTCATTTGGAATTAAGTCAAATAATTAAATCTATTAGAATAAAAGATGGAGAAATGTAGTTCGCTTCAAGGATAATATTGTTGGTAAAGATTTGGTTAAATCGTTCCTAAACCTTCACAAAAACCTTACTACAAAGATAGCTTAGAGCATTACTTAATGTAGTCCAAATGATAGAATATATAGAAAATTTAAAGCAAACACTTGCTGGAGTAGAACCATATGCTATTTTTAATTACAACGAAACAAATTTGGTGGATGACTCCGGAAAAAAAGGTATTAACTTAACGTAGAGTGAAATAACCTGAATGAGTTTGTAACTCTTCGAAAAGCAATATCTCTCTAATAGCTTATGAGAATGCAGCTGGTGAGCTGTTGCCTCGTTCCGTAATTATCTTATAAGAAGAGATAAGAAGCAAAATTATTAAATTTTGATAAATAAAAATACTATTTTGAGCTTATTTCATATAACACTCAATCTCTGGGTTAATATAAAAGATAAGATTTTTATAGGTTCAAAAGTGTTACCCTCTATAATTATTAGTTTCAAGTTCAAGCGAACGATATTCCATTCGCCTTTGATCTTCCTCCCATACCTTGCTACATTCTTATGGATTTGATTTGCTTGTTGCCCGTAAGGTTGGTGTATCGACTTCGTTCTGATTTAGTTCAAGGTCGAGTTGCATGGAGAACCGCATTAACGTCATTTGTGAATAGCATGGTGGTACATTAATGTCTTTAAGATATTCTCCTTACTAGCTACTATGTTTACCTTCCTGTCTCGATATTTATGTTAAGTCTTGGTTTGAATTGTTTTTTTATGGACATACTAGGAAAAATTTCCCATCTCCATCTCTATATCTTGATGAGAGGTACTCATTCTCTTGACTCAGTCAACCGATTGAGGTTTCTTGATTTTAACAAATTATCTTATAAATCCTCATTATGTTTAAAGTTTTAAAACTTCTTCTTCTTCTTTCAGTGCCTATTCGTTCCGAATATTGGCAATCATTCTGGCTTATAATTATTTTATTGACTGATGCTTTAAATAGATTTGTTGTTGTTGTGGGAAAACCATTTCCTCAGGTTCTTCAACCATGGTATTCTCCTTCTCCCAATTCCTCGCTTTCCGAATACTTTACCCTGTAGGATTACCTTCAGTAATCTGTATTTAGTGCTGTTTCTCATTATATGTCCGAGATATTCCAACTTTCTCCTTTTAATGGTATACATTACCTCTCTTTCTTTGCCCACTCTTCGTAATACGGTCTCGTTGGTTATCTTGTCTGTCCATGATATCCTTTGAATTTAAAACTTAAAAAAATTAAAAACATAAGAATTAAATATATGAAAATAATAAATTATATTAGTCAAATTTTATTTGATTTAATTTATGCATGTGATAAAAATTTATTGAAAAAATTTTACGCTGCATTTAATTTAAATTGGAACTTTATAATCCAGTCGTCAGATATTTTATTTCTAAAACGAGACGAATAAGCTGAATTTTGCTGAGAATGTCAATTTTGGGACAGAAAGCTAGATCCTTACAAAAGATGTCATAAAACGATTGGAGGCATTTGAAATGTGGTGCTACCGACGTATGTTGAGGGTCTCATATATATATTTACACCACACAAGTAACATAACTATTCTCCAGAGGCTAAGAAAAGACAAAGAAATTATTAACACCATAAAAAACAGAAAATTGGCTTACTTCGGCCACATCATGCGTAATGATAAATACCGACTTCTACAGTTGATTCTACAAAGCAAGATTGAGGGTAAGAGAGGCCCTGGACGTAGACGTATATCCTGGCTGGCCAATCTTAGGAAATTGACTGATCTAACTTCAACTGATCTATTTCGAGCTGCTGAGAATAGAATAAGATGGGTCAAGGTGGTCGCCAACATCTGTAGAAGTTAGGCACATTTAGAAGAAGAAAGAAATATCTTATAAAAATAAAGAAACGTTGCGCAATTTTTGCCTTTTTTACGATTCTTATGGGAAAAATAAAATTTATTACTTCCATTGACCGGTCGCTATGAAATTTCCATTGTTAGAGCGTAATCTTCAAAACCTCTAATAGTCTAAAATCCCAATGCAATATTATTAATTTCATAACGTTGGTAATCAAACTCACATTTTTCATATACTTATTTAAGAATACGAGAATACTTTGATAACATATTGCAAATCAAAAGTGGCCGCTAATATTTTTAATTCAATTATTAATTTTTGAACAAAAATTTTATTTCTTTCATTTATTTTTTAAATAAAATACGCTGCTTATGAAGTATATGCACGTTTTTTATATCAATTTAAAACTGATTTTTTATCAAAGATACGGTAAAATAGAGTTAAAGCACAGCGACACTGGTTTGACAAGTGATAATATGTATATTATTAACACAATCTATTGACGCACATACGTCGATTTAAGGGATTTACACGGCCAAAAATATTTAACATATTTCCACGAAAATTGGCATATATTTTTCATTTCATTCATTTTTCAATCAAAATCAAAATTTAAAATGAACAAAAAATTTACAGGTTTTTATTTATACCTTTGAACTTTATATTCCATCTTCAATAACTTTGAAATCCTACAAGTACCGATAAAATGTTAAATCTTCAGAAAACAAAATGTTTATGTATACCTAATATAAACCTAAAACAACTTTGACAACACTACAGACAATTACTCGTAAGAGCGAATAAAAAACTTCTGACTTGCATTTGTCGTCTGTTAAAACACAGACGCGCTAGGATCGCGTCGCCACGAGCGTTGTACCGCACCTTTGATGTTACCGACTCTAGATGGATAGGACGGACCAGCCACAGACGTGCCTGCGCTACCACGGACGAGACCCTTCCCACGGTGCGTGGTGCGTGCTGGTCCGCTTACGTCCGTAATATCGCCGACCGTGGGAAGCCTGTATTAGTGGAATCTTTTGCTATAACATGAAATTTATGAGGTAATTAGGCAATATGTCTAAAAAACGCTGAATTTTAACTTTTACATTACAAATATGTCCATTACCATTCTGCATGTCTCATTTAGCTCAGTATTCACTTGTTTGGTGGGGCAGAGTAGGGCATGCATATTTATCAGTTGAAAAACGCAGTACTTGCATTGTTCTTAAGAGGCTACGACATGCAACCCATTTATTTCGCGTTAGTTTTCTGAGTTTGCTGATCTTAGTTGTTACTTTCCCTCTCGTGTTTATGCAGTGTTGTCGGTAGGTAAGGGACCGGTTCAGAATCACTTTAAAATATTTAGGCTGGTCTAAGTGTTCTTGGAAACGGGCAGGAATCCTCTGTAGCCGTCCAAGTATAGCCAAATAAGTATATCGGCTGGGTACAAGTAATTAGGTTAAATTACTTCGGATTATCCTTCGACTTTGGTGTATTTCCATTAAGCGATGGTTCTTTTTGTGTGTATTTAAACAAGTACTTCTTACTCAATAGAAATGTATTTTTTAATTATTACCAGTGTACTTTTAAATTGTTAAATATATAATGCAATTATCATTTATTTGCTCTCTGCTTTAAATAAGAAATATTATCACTTACAATAGTTAATCTGTGATCGTATGATTCACCGTGCCGGAGTTGAACTTAAGAGCCTTCTGTCTTCTAAGGCGGTTGAAACGTAAAAGAGGAAGAGGTCGGTTACAATCTCTCGCAGAGTCAAATTTTGGTCTGTACCAAAGGGTGGTCGGGGGGTAGGACGCGGGTGCGCTGTTGCCAGTTTGGATCAAATCCGAACAGTTCAAATGTATTGCCATTCCATGCAATTTTAAGTTGTCGTTTAGCTTCTTTGCACGAAGTTGAAAGCCACTTGGTATATATATTGAGAAGCATTGTTGCTAAAATACTTTCCTCTTGAAGGCCGTCCTTTTAAACTCTCCACATACTTTGCTCTCCACATGGCGAAAAATCGACTATTTTTCAGCAAAGAATGCACGACCCTAAACTCAGATGTATGAAAGATGCCCCTGTTACAAGTTTTCCTCCTGTTATAAGACCTCTTCAATGTGTTCTGTTAGGGCGATGACTTGGTCCGTACAACATTTGCCAGACCAGACTCCGTTTTTTGTTGAATGAGGTGAATGTCAAACGTTTTTTTATTTCTTAGACATAATACTACCCTAATTGATTATTTTCCTTTTTTTTTGTTATTTATCTTTATTTATGTTATAGGTACGTCACATCTTTTATTTATTAATTTTACAATTAATTCAAGTGATTCGGCTTTTACAATTTTGATATTATTTTCAGGTAACATTCAAGAACAATGTCTACATTAAAATTCATAGACATAAAAGCAAATTTAACTAATAGTCAGTTCTCTGGTGCCTACAAATGTTGTTTTAGAGATCCTCCGACTCAGATTCATAAGCCAGATGTAAAACATGTCTTGGAAAGAAGTTATGATGCTGGATTGCAAAAAATAATAATCTGTGCTCTAGATTTAGCTGAGAGTAAAAAAGCCCTAAGAATAGCAAAACGTGATAGCAGATTGTTTACTACAGTTGGATGTGCACCTACAAGGTGTTTACAATTTGAAGAAAATGGTGAACCTGATTTATATCTCCAACAACTAAAAGATGTAATTGCTTTAGGAAAAAAAAAAGTGGTTGCTGTTGGAGAGTGTGGCCTTAATTGTGACGTGTACTACTATTACCCAATAAATCTTCAATTGAAATACTTTGAAGTTCAAGTACAACTAAGTCAATTATTCAATTTACCTTTAATAATTTATTCTCAGGGAGACAGCGCGCCTGGAATGCTGCTCAACATTTTACGTAAATATCCAGGAACAAGAGGTGTTATACATTTCTTCGATTCTACTATAGAAATGACGAGAACATTTATAGATAAAGGATTTTATATTGGATTAGACACATGGTCTTTCAGAGAAGAACAGACGATCGAAATTGTTAAAAGAATACCTGTGGATAAAATGTTATTTCAAACAAATTGTCCTGATAGAGTAATAAATCGCACCTTCCCCGCCTATTGTCATGTTTCTAGAGAGAACTTGGAGTTGTTGACCATAAAGAAACGAAAATGGAGACCCGATTTCATGGTAACTGGGAGGAGCGAACCGTGTAATATAAGACAGATACTGGATATGGCGGCTTTCGTTACCAACAGGAACAAAAACGAGTTAGCAGAACAAGTTTACTGCAACACAACTCGTTTGTTCAATTTTGGGGAAAATACTTAATTTTAATAATCATATAACAATATCTTTGTGAATCAACAGTGACTTTTGATCTGCTATCTCTCTCCTCAGTCTTGACTTTCTGGAGGAAGTATAGTGGTCGTTGTGATATCGTGTATACCCCGTCTCCATATGTTTCTATCTCTGGCTATATCTATTACATCGTGCATATATGTCTTGCATGTTTCTGTGATCTGGTCAATTCATCTTACTAAAGATCTTCCTCGTGGTCTTTGACCTTCTACCTTTCCTTGAATGATGAGTTTTTACATATTTATGTCTAACTTCATGACATGTTCAAAATAGTTTAATTGTTGCAATTGGAAATATGGTCGGTATATGGAATTCGCAACATTCTTCTCCAGTAGAATATTTCAAGACGTTTATCGTTTTCCGTTTTGATTGCCTTAATGTCCAAGATTGGCATCCATAACTTTGTAATCCTCCATCTGTAGCCCCGTTGGAGCACGAGATTGTCCAGCTAGCCTTCCACTTTCTTTTTTCTTCAAACCGTATAGTATATTAAAAAAAACTTTTTCTCCACATTTCAACCGTAAGTATCCGTCCATGAGCCAACCATTCTCTCATGTCGAGGAGCACATAGATTTTAAATAAGTTTTATTAGTGCCTTATTTTATCAGTTATGAGTCATCATTGGGTCTTCGTAGTTATTCACCATTGTTTCGTTATCATCGTAGTTTTCTCTTCAGGGGCAACTTTGTTAGATGCAGTCCGGTTATCAGTTTGTCACACATTATTTCTACCTCAGAAGTAGTTGGAGGTTTTATATAGCACGACTACTTTGCCACATCCTGCTCATTGATATTTTTTTTGTGCTTTCTTCTTTCTGCTCGAGGTGACTACTGCCGAAATACCTTCTTTGTAGAGTACCCGAATGATGTTTTATGTTGGTTTTGGCATGGACAGAATTGATGCACGGTTCGGCGAAACATTGTTTGCCTGCGAAAATACCTGGCGTAAACTTAAAGACAATTAATGTCATAAAATTGAAACAACAATTACGATGTGCTAATATACATGCAGCGAAGAAAGGAAGGACGGTCAGAGAAATAGAGATGGAAGAGGCCAATCAACACTCGATCCGGCGAGGAGCGAAAAGTGAGTAATCAACACTTGGACACGGTAAAGAATCGGTATGTCTTAGATCAATACTCCAAGACGGGATACGGAACTTCCAATACATCAACATTCTATCGGAAGCAGTTATATCTTTCAATGAGATGTTATATTCCTGATTCCACTGTTCCATTTGTTTTTTCTTAAACCTATGTCATAGAATCAGTGACTGGCATTAATGGTTCTTCTATCGTTTTCTCCTGTTGTAGTAGCATCTTTTGCTAGTCATATCCACTGTTTCATTTTTCGTCCATTCCTTAATCCAAACCAAAGAAATTTTGTTTACGTTTATTCGTAAGTAACTGGAGCTCTTCTAAAATTCTTATAATCACTATTGATGAAGATCTTGATAATTTAGTTTGTATAAATATGTCTACCGAACTTTTGCTATCTGTTAGTATAAGAAACTTAGTCTTGTGATGGGCATTAATATACCTCAAAGCCTGAAGAATTGCGATAAGCTCAGCAGTATAAATAGACATTTGACTTGGAAGTTTGAATTTTTTTGGATATATTTTGTCATCCAGCAGATTCATCGAATTTGAATCCATCTGTATAAATACAATCTGACTCAGGCCATCTGTTTTAGAATTGTTTTGTTAATAAACGCATTTATATTAAATGTATTTACATGTGATTCAATTTTTAGATAATAGTAAGGGATATGTAATTCTAATAGGTTATAATCGCAATTATTGAAGGGAAGAATGTCATTTCTGTAAAACTCGTTACTAAATTGAATTAAGTGCTGATAACTGTTAGGAACTATCCATTTTGGAATTGAGTTCCTTTTTCAGATCTTTTTTTGCTAGAATTATCTAGTATGAATGTAATGGTACAAATACGAGTATATCCAATATGTAATAAATTAATAAAAATATAGGTATTTATCTTTTCAATGCCTGCTTCTGTTGTTTCTGTACAAAGGTCTATGTGTGTCCCATAACTCGGTTTGTTGTCTGTATAACTTAATTAATTTGGAAGTTTGTTCCACTCTTTTTTGCTCTTGTTTACTTAAAGACTTACTGCACTGTACTGATAAATTGTTAAAATAAGATATAGCTAGTATGTACGCGTTTAAAATAGCAATGTGATATAACATCTTTTAATCTTTTTTGCTTTACCAACTTCAGATCGTTAGTGAGTTATATAGCAAGGAAATCTGCTACATTTGGCATAATAAATTGTAACATGTCATATAAGAAAGTTATATAGCAAGGGATCTGGACCTGATAAAAGTATTCGATGACTTTTTTAGCAGAAGATAAACATTTTAACTTAATGCTTTGATGAATTTAGAAAAATTTTCATAATTACAATATTTTATGTCACCCAAATGTCAAAAAATATACCATAGAACTCACAGTAAAACATGTAAACATATATTATACTTTAGCATTATTTACCAATAACAACAATTAAAGTACTATTTATTACCATGGTTCAATTCTAATTTGGATATTTTTTAGGTGTCTAATATCCACAAGTAATGTCTACATTCAAACTAATTGACGTGCGTGCAAATCTTACTAATAATGAGTACTCAGGTTGTTATGGAAATACTCCAATTAAGATTCATAAACCAGATTTAGAACAAGTTTTAGAAAGAAGTTGGGAAGCAGGTTTGCAGAAAATAATAATCTGTGCTATGGATTTAGCTGAGAGTAAAAAAGCCCTAAGAATAGCAAAAAGTGATAGATACAGATTGTTTACTACGGTTGGATGTGCGCCTACAAGCTGTTTACAATTTGAAGGAAAATGGTGAAACCTGATTTATATCTCCAACAACTAAAAGATGTAATTACTTTAGGAAAAGAAAAAAGTTGTTGCTATTGGAGAGTGTGGTCTTAATTGTGGCATGTACTACCATTACCCAATAAATCTTCAATTGAAATACTTTGAAGTTCAAGTACAATTAAGTCAATTGTTCAATTTACCTTTAATAATTTATTCTCAGGGAGACAGCGCGCCTAAAATGCTGCTCGACATCATACGTAAATATCCAGGAATAAAAGGTGTTATACATTGCTTCAATTTTACTGTAGAACTGATGAGAAAATTTATAGATCAAGGATTGTATATCGGATTAGATACATGGTCTTTCAGATCAGAACAGACGATCGAAATTGTTAAAAATATACCTCTGGATAAAATGTTATTTCAAACAAATTGTCCTGATAGGGTAATATGTCGCACCTTCCCGGCTATTGGCATGTTTCTAGAGAGAACTTAGAGTTGTTGACAACAAATAAACAAAAGTGGAGACCTGGTTTTATGGTAACTGGAAGGAGCGAACCGTGTAATATAAGGCAGATACTGGATATGGCCGCTTTCGCTACCGACATGAACAAAAACGATTTAGCAGAACAAGTTTACTGCAACACAACTCGTTTGTTCAATTTTGGGGAAAATACTTAATTTTAATAATCATATAACAATATATTTGTGAATCAACAGTGACTTTTGATCTGCTATCTCTCTCCTCAGTCTTGACTTTCTGGAGGAAGTATAGTGGTCGTTGTGATATCGTATATACCCCGTCTCCATATGTTTCTATCTCTGGCTATATCTATTACATCGTGCATATGTGTCATGTTTCTGTGATCTGGTCAATCCATCTTACTAAAGATCTTCCTCGTGGTCTTTGGCCTTCTACCTTTCCTTGAATGATGAGTTTTACATATTTATGTCTAACCTCATGACATGTTCAAAATAGTTTAATTGTTGCAATTGGATAGTCTGGTACTGATCTGTAGTTATTTTAGAATATAATTATTTGTTCTATGGTCGGTCTATGGAATTCGCAACATTCTTCTCCAGTAGAATATTCCACGGCGTTTATCGTTCTCCGTTTTTATTGCCTTAATGTCCAAGATTGGCATCCATAACTTTGTAATCCTCTATCTATAGAAACGTTGGAGCACGAGATTGTCCAGCCAGCCTTCCACTTTCTTTTTTCTTCAAACCGTATAGTATATTAAAAAAAACTTTTTCTCCACATTTCAACCGTAAGTATCCGTCCATGAGCCAACATTCTTCATGTCGACGAGCACATAGATTTTAATAAGTTTTATTAGTGCCTTATTTTATCAGTTATGAGTCACCATTGGGTCTTCGTAGTTATTCACCATTGTTTCGTTATCATCGTAGTTTTCTCTTCAGGGGCAACTTTGTTAGATGCAGTCCGGTTATCAGTTTGTCACACATTATTTCTACCTCCAGAAGTAGTTGGAGGTTTATATAGCACGACTACTTTGCCACATCCTGCTCATTCATATTTTTTTGTTCTTTCTTCTTTCTGCTCGAGGTGACTACTGCCGAGATACCTTCTTTGTAGAGTACCCGAATGATATTTTATGTTGGTTTTGGCATGGACAGAATTGATGCACGGTTCGGCGAAACATTGTTTGCCTGCGAAAATACCTGCGTAAACTTAAAGACAATTAATGTCATAAAATTGAAACGACAATTACGATGTGCTAATACACATGCAGCGAAGAAAGGAAGGACGGTCAGAGAAATAGAGATGGAAGAGGCCAATCAACACTCGATCCGGCGAGGAGCGAAAAGTGAGTAATCAACACTTGGACACGGTAAAGAATCGGTATGTCTTAGATCAATACTCCAAGACAGGATACGGAACTGCCAATACATCAACATTCTATCAGAAGCAGTTATATCTTTCAATGAGATGTTATATTCCTGATTCCACTGTTCCATTTGTTTTTTCTTAAACCAATGTCATAGATCAGTGACTGGCATTAATGGTTCTTCTTCGTTTCTCCTGTTGTAGTAGCATCTTTTGCTAGTCTATCCACTGTTTCATTTCGTCCATTCCTTAATCCAAACCAAAGAAATTTGTTTACCTTTATTCGTAAGTAAACAGGACCTCTTCTAAAATTCTTATAATCACTATTGATGAAGATCTTGATAATTTAGTTTGTATTATTGTCTACCGAACTTTTGCTATCTATTAGTATAAGAAACTTACTCTTGTGATGGGCGTTAATATACCTCAAAGCATGAATAGTTGCGATGAGCTCATCAGTATAAATAGATATTTGACTTACAAGTTTGAATTTTTTGGATATATTTTGTCATCCAGCAGATTCGTCAAGTTTGAATTCATCTGTATAAATAGAATCTGACTCTGGCCATCTTTTTAAAATTGTTTTGTTAATAAACAAATTTATATTAAATGTATTTACATGTGACTCAATATTTAGATAGTAGTAAGGGATAAGTAAGTAAGGGATAGTAAGGGTAATAGATTATAGTCGTAATTATTGGAGGGAAGAATGTCATTTTCTGTAAAACTCTTTACTAAATTGAATTAGGTGCTGATAACTGTTTATCACTTTGGGAAGATTTTTACGTCGCTAGAAGGAACTATCCATTTTGGAATTGAGTTCCTTTTTTTGGCAGATCTTTTTTGTGCTAGGAGTATCTAGTATGAATGTAATCGTACAAATACGAGTATACCTGAAAAATAAAAATATGTATGTATTTAAGACAGTATATGGCGTAGGAGCATGATTTGTCAGTCTCTGCATTTGAATTGCTAAACAGCGTTACGACGTCATTTCGGCCTCATATGGTCTCATCAAACGTTGGTATTAAATACAAAATCAAACACGAAAGACCAGCAAAAGTCTTCTAACAATTTCCCACTATATAATAAATACAAAACTAATAAAAATATATTTATCTTTTCAATGACTGCTAGTGTTGTATCTGTACAAAGGTCTATGTGTGCCCCATAGCTCGGTATGTTGTCTGTATAACACAATTAATTTGAAAGTTTGGGCTACTCTTTTTTGATTTTATTTACTTGAAGCACTGCACTGTACTGATAAATTGTTAAAATAAGATTTAACTTGTCTGTACGCGTTTAAAATAGCAATGTGATATAACATCTTTTAATCTTTTGGGCTTTACCAACTTCAGATCGTTTAGTGACTTATATAGCAAGGCAATCTGCTACATTTAGCATCATAAATAGTAACATGTCATATAAGAAAGTTATATAGCAAGAGATCTGGACTGGGCTTAAAGTATACCAAGACTTTTTTTAGCAAAAGATAAACGTTTTAACTTAATGTTTTGATAAATTTTGAAAAATTTTATGTCACTTCCCAATTGTCAAAAAATATACCATAGAACTCACAGTGAAACATGTAAACAACATATATTATACTTTAGCATTATTTAGCAAAAACAACAATTAAAGTACTATTTATTACCATGGTTCAATTCTAATTTAGATATTTTTCAGGTGTCTAATATCCACAAGTAATGTCTACATTCAAACTAATTGACGTGCGTGCAAATCTTACTAATAATGAGTACTCAGGTTGTTATGGAAATACTCCAATTAAGATTCACAAACCAGATCTAGAACAAGTTTTAGAAAGAAGTTGGGAAGCAGGTTTGCAGAAAATAATAATCTGTGCTATGGATTTAGCTGAGAGTAAAAAAGCCCTAAAAATAGCAAAAAGTGATAGCAGATTGTTTACTACGGTTGGATGTGCGCCTACAAGCTGTTTACAATTTGAAGAAAATGGTGAACCTGATTTATATCTCCAACAACTAAAAGATGTAATTACTTTAGGAAAAGAAAAAGTTGTTGCTATTGGAGAGTGTGGTCTTAATTGTGGCATGTACTACCATTACCCAATAAATCTTCAATTGAAATACTTTGAAGTTCAAGTACAATTAAGTCAATTGTTCAATTTACCTTTAATAATTTATTCTCAGGGAGACAGTGCGCCTAAAATGCTGCTCGACATCATACGTAAATATCCAGGAATAAAAGGTGTTATACATTGCTTCAATTTTACTGTAGAAATGATGAGAAAATTTATAGATCAAGGATTGTATATCGGATTAGATACATGGTCTTTTCAGATCAGAACAGACGATCGAAATTGTTAAAAATATACCTGTGGATAAAATGTTATTTCAAACAAATTGTCCTGATAGGGTAATAGGTCGCACCTTCTCCGCCTATTGGCATGTTTCTAGAGAGAACTTAGAGTTGTTGACAAGAAATAGACAAAAGTGGAGACCTGGTTTTATGGTAACTGGAAGGAGCGAACCATGTAATATAAGGCAGATACTGGATATGGCCGCTTTCGCTACCGACATGAACAAAAACGATTTAGCAGAACAAGTTTACTGCAACACAACTCGTTTGTTCAATTTTGGGGAAAATACCTAATTTTAAGCATCATATAACAATATCTTTGTGAATAAACAGTGACTTTTGATCTGTTATGTCTCTCTTCAGTCTTGACTTCCTGGAGGAAATGTAGTGGTTGTCGTGATATCGTGTATATCCCGTCTCCCTATATTTCTGTCTCTAGCTATTTCTATTACATCATGCATAGGTATCTTGCAAGTTCCTGTGATCTGGTTAATACATTTTATTGGAGATCTTCCTTGTCCTCGTGGTCTTTTCCAAAGTCATTTCCAAAATATTTTAATTATTGCAATTTGATAGTCTCGTACTGATCTTTAGTTCTTTTAAAATATAAAATGTGTTACCGTACAAAACAACTTCAGTACGTATTAAGTTGTTTGCAGATTCTTGGCAGATGTAGACTGCTTTCTACTCAAGTACCTACTTGTAACCTTTATGCAATTCTTGGGCAAATAGCATTGTTTTATTCCTTTAACAACAAATCGTAGCATGTATAAATGATTGATTTGTGTTTCTAATTTGCTAGGGCTTGCAACGGTGTAAGAGCAATAATGTCTTTTTCATCTAATTCTGCCTGTAAGCATCTCTGTACTTCCCTGCACAAGTTGGAGACTTCGTGGCCTCTTTTAGTATTTTTTAAGCATTTCTTTTCCCTCGAGCCTGTAATGTCGTCTGTTCTGCATGAACGATAACTTCACCATCAAGTAAAGAATGTATTTCTGCTGTTTTTTTTTTTTCGTCCGTTCGCTGGAGTCTTCAAAAGATTTAGTTAGAAGGAAAAATCTACTCGCAACTGTTTGTTTTTCTACTTGTTAAATGTTCCGTCTAGCGAATCTTTATTTTTTTTTATAGAAATACTGCTTTTTTGGTGGGCCTTTAACCATTTCTCTTTCATTACCGTTTTAAAATATCCAAATATTTGCTTTAAACTGGTTAAATTATCAAATGTGTAACCATAATAGGTCAATAAGCGACTTTCCCAAATATTTTTGTTTTACATCTAGATTATTCAAATATTGTTGCTTCATTTGGTCGTAAAGGTATTTACGGGTCACTATTTTCATGAAAGAGGCACCAGATGTAGCTAAAATTAAGAAAATAGTAACTTATAATTAAAAGAATTGAATGACTTGTCATTTTGTGACGTCATCCAATATAGCAAAATTAACAATATATATATATATCCCGTTTATAGCGTAATCCGCCTTTGGGTTCCCGTTCGCCAAGCCTGTCTATTCTGCCAGTCTTCTTCAAATAGATTTCTTGCTGACATGGCTTTTGAAATTCCTTGCATCCATGTTGTTGGTGGTCGTCCTCGTTTTCTTTTCTCTGGTGGTACCCATTCTAATATTTTTTTTGGTAGTCTTTCTTCCCCCATACGTCTAACATGTCCGTACCATGTCAGTTGTTGTTTTTCGATGTCTTCTATAATTGATCTTTGTACATTCATTTGATTTCTTATGTCCTCATTTCTCACATGTTCTAATCGAGACTTTCCCGCTGCTCTCCTCCAAAAATCCATTTCAACTGCCAAGAGGTTACCTTTAAGTTTTTGTGATAACTGCCATACTTCTGAGCCATACACGATTACTGGTTTCAATATTGTGTTATATATTCTTTTTTTCGTTTCCGGTCTTATATTTTTCTGCCATAGTACTGAATTCAATGCACCTATAACTCGTTTCCCTTTGGTTATTCTGTCTTTTATGGCTTCATCAGTTCTTCCTGTCTTTGTTAGTTTTACCCCCAAATATATACATTGATCGCATTTCTTAATTTTCCCGTCTTCTAAGTCGAGGTCATCTGCAGTATTTTCTCCTCCTACGCAAAGATATTGCGTTTTTTGTAAATTTACTTCGAGGCCCCATTTTTTGTACTCTTCCATTAGTTTTTTAGCCATATACTCTAGGTCTTCCTTGTCTTGGGCAATAACTACCTGGTCATCTGCATAATGCAGCGTGTATAACGTTTCATCCCCAATAGACAGCCCCATCCCTTTACACTTCTTTTTCCATTGCCTGAGTGCTTCGTCGATATATATATATATTAAATAGTATGGGAGATAAACAACAACCTTGCTTCAGTCCTTTTGTTACCTGAAAACCATTAGTAACCTTATTTCCTATTTTAACTTTTGATATTGTGTTGTTATATAGATCTTTAATAGCGTCGATTAGTGAAACGCTGATACTGGTTTTCTCCAATACTTCCCACAATTTCGCAACAGGCACGGTTGTCATATGCTTTTGTTAAATCGACTAAAAGTAAATGCACTTCTCGAGATCTCAGTGTTCTTTTCTCGAGTATTTGGGATAAGCAAAAAATACTATCTATTGTGGATCGTCCCGCTCTGAATCCGTTTTGTTCTTCTGATTCAAAAGGACGGTATTCTTCGCATATGCGTTCTTTTATAATTCTCCCATGGGAGAATTATAAAATTAACAAAAAACCCTATATTTTAATATTTATTTATAAGAGAGAGAACAAAACATCACTAACAGCTACCTGCGCGCACATTCGCACGTTACAGTTCTGGAGTGGGGATAGTAAGTTTTTGCTAAGACCAACCATCATTTGTCTCTAGGATATTTCATGAATTTTTAACGCCACTTTTGAAATTTTTCTTTTAGCCGGCTAATTATTTAAAATCAATGTATGTGTGACGCCTGACACTAGCCATGTGAAACAGTGGAGTTGCTCGCTAGCTATCTTTTACTTTATCTTTGATACCTCACGTGTTTAACAGTTGATAATCATAATTTGCGTTCATTTTTTCTCGGGAAACCTTATATCATCATATTTAAAAAAAAATAGCTTTAATTTGATATATAAAACATGCATACAGGTCATGAGCAGCGTATTTTATTTAAAAAATAAATTAACGAAATTTTTGTTCAAAAATTAATTATTATTAATTGGATTAAAACTATTTGCGACCACTTTTTGACTGGCAACCTATTATCATTGTATTCTCCTATTATTAATATGTATGTAACAATATGATTTAGATTAACTACGTTACGAACGTAGTGATCTTGTAGTGGGATCTTTTGCTATAACATGAAATTGATGAGGAATTTGCAATGTGCCTAAAAAATGCTGAATTTAATCTTTTACAATACAAATATGTCCATTACTATTCTGCGTGTCTCATTTAGCTCAGTATCCACTTGTTTGAAGGGACAGATCTGTTTTAAACAGGGCACGCATATTTCGCAGTTGAAAAGATCAGTGCTTGTGTCATTGTTCTTAAGAAGCCAGGACATGCAGCCTATTTAGTTTTCTGAGTTTGCTGTTCTTAGTTGTTATTTTCCCTCTCGTTTTTATGCAGTGTTGTCAGTAAATTCAGTAGATTCAGAATCACTATAAGATATTTAGGCTGGTCTGTGTTTTCTAATGTATTGCCATTTCACGCAATTTTGAGTTATCGCTTATCTTCTTTATGCGAAATTGCAAGGCACAACTTGTGTTTTAGAATGATTGAGTCTCAGGGAATTCTACAGGTACTATGCAGTCATTGTGTTTAAGGCAATTTCGAGTTTCTCTTCTTTAAAACTTTTTCCTTGGGCACGAATTGCAAGATCGTTAGCATAGAGGAAGTGCTTGGTTTCAATTTGCGTGGGTTGATCATTGGTACATCTATTGAGAAGCATTGGTGCTCAAAACACTTCCCTGTGGAAGGCCGTCCTTTCGAACCCTCCACCTACTTTACTTACTTTGCTCTCCACATGGCGAAAAAATATCTGTTTTTCAGGAAAGAATCTTCTTCTTTGAGTGCCTCTCCTATCGGAGATTGGATATCATTACGGTGATTCTAATTTTATTAACTGCTGTTTTGAATAATTCGTTAGTGGTACAGCCAAACCACTCTCTTAAATTTCTCATCCAGGACATTCTTCTACGGCCTGGATTTCTGCGTCCTTGGATCTTTCCTTGCATTATATTTTGTAGGAACGTGTACTTTTGTCCTCTCATCAGGTGGCCTAAGTATTCAAGTTTTCTCTTTTTTATATTCATAATAACTTCTGTATCGTTATTTATTTATTATTTATTTATTCAAAGCAAAGAATGCACGACCCTAAAGTCAGATCTACGAAAGATGCCTCCGTTGTAAGTTTTTCTTCAAAATCTCTTCAATGTGTTCTGTTAGTGCGAAGACTTGGTCGGTACAAGATTTTCCGGGTCTGAATCCGTTTATTTGTGGAACATAATACTGCCCTAATTGGTTATCCTTTTTTTGTGGTTATTTATGTTAATTTATGTATAGGTCACATCTTTTATTTATTAATTTTACAATTCAAGTGTTTTGGCTTTTACAATTTTGATATTATTTTCAGGTAACATTCAAGAACAATGTCTACATTAAAATTCATAGACATAAAAGCAAATTTAACTAATAGTCAGTTTTCTGGTGCCTACAAATGTTGTTTTAGAGATCCTCCAACTCAGATTCATAAGCCAGATGTAAAACATGTGTTGGAAAGAAGTTGGGATGCTGGTTTGCAGAAAATAATAATCTGTGCTCTAGGTTTAGCTGAGAGTAAAAAAGCTCTAAGAATAGCAAAACTGGATAGCAGATTGTTTACTACAGTTGGATGTACGCCTACAAGGTGTTTACAATTAGAAGAAAATGGTGAACCTGATTTATATCTCCAACAACTAAAAGATGTAATTGCTTTAGGAAAGAAAAAAGTTGTTGCTGTTGGAGAGTGTGGCCTTAATTGTGACGTATACTGCTATTACCCAATAAATGTTCAACTGAAATGCTTTGAAGTTCAAGTACAATTAAGTCAATTATTCAATTTACCATTAATAATGTATTCTCAAGGAGACAGCGCACCCAAAATGCTGCTCGACATCATACGTAAATATCCAGGGACAAAAGGTGTTATACATTACTTAGATCCTACTATAGAAAAGATGAGAAAATGGATAGATGAAGGATTTTATATCGGATTAGATACATGGTCTTTCAGATCAGAACAGGCGATCGAAATGGTTAAAAGAATACCTGTGGATAAAATGTTATTTCAAACAAATTGTCCTGATAGGGTAATACAACGCACCTTCCCCGCCTATTGGCATGTTTCTAGAGAGAACTTAGAGTTGTTGACAACAAATAAACGAAAGTGGAGACCTGATTTTATGGTAACTGGAAGGAGCGAACCGTGTAATATAAGGCAGATACTGGATATGGCGGCTTTCGTTACCAACAAAAACAAAAACGATTTAGCAGAACAAGTTTATTGCAACACAACTCGTTTGTTCAATTTTGGGGAAAATACTTAATTGTAATCATTATATAAAAATATCTTTGTAAAAAAAGGTGACTTTTGATCTGTTGTCTCTCTGTTTAGTTTTGACTTCCTGGAAGAAGTGTACCTAGTGCTTGTCGTGATATCATGAATAGCCCGTCTCCATATATGTCTGTCGCTATTTCCATTACATTGTGCATAGATGTCTTCCAAGATTCTGTGATCTGGTCAATCCATCATTTTGGAGATCTTCTTCTTGGTCTTTGGCCTTCTACCTCTTTGAATGATGAGTTTCTACATATTGTCTATGTCTGACCTCATGACATGCCCAAAACATTCTTCTCCAGTAGAACACTTTAAGACGTTTATCTTTCTCCTTTTTGATTGCCTTAGTGTCGATGGAAATGATGGAAATCGAATTAACCAAGGTATCGTAAAACTACGGTTTTCTATGAATTTTTGGTTGGATATCATGAAATCTTATATCTTTCAATGAGATGTTATATCCCTGATTAAACCGTTCCATTTGTTTTTCTTAAACCTATGTCATAGATAAGTGACTGGCATTAATGGTTCTTCTATCGTTTCTATCAAAGAAATTTGTTTACCTTTATTCGTAAGTAACTGGACCGCTTCTAAAATTCTTATAATCACTATTGATGAAGATCTTGATAATTTAGTTTGTATTATTGTGCCTACCGAACTTTTGCTAACATTAATATACCTCAAAGTCTGAAGAATTGCGATAAGCTCAGCAGTATACATAGACATTTGACTTGGAAGTTTGAATTTTTTGGATATATTTTGTCATCCAGCAGATTCGTCGAATTTGAATCCATCTGTTTAAATAGAATCTGACTCTGGCCATCTTTTTAGAATTGTTTTGTTAATAAACAAATTTATATTAAATGTATTTACATGTGATTCAATATTTAGATAATAGTAAGGGATATGTAATTCTAATAGATTATAGTCGTAAGGTGCTGATAACTGTTTATCACTTTGGGAAGATTTTTACGTCGCTAGAAGGAACTATCCATTTTGGAATTGAGTTCCTTTTTTTGGCAGATCTTTTTTGTGCTAGGAGTATCTAGTATTAGTGTAATAGTACAAATACGAGTATACCTGAAAAATAAAAATATGTATGTATTTAAGACAGTATATGGCGTAGGAGCACGATTTGTCAGTCTCTGCATTTGAATTGGTAAACAGCGTTACGACGTCATTTCGGCCTCATATGGTGTCCTCAAACGTTGGTGTTAAATACAAAATCAAACACGAAAGACCAACAAAAGTCTTCTAACAATTTCCCACTATATAATAAATACAAAACTAATAAATTAATAAAAATATATTTATCTTTTCAATGCCTGCTAGTGTTGTATCTGTACAAAGGTCTATATGTGTCCCATAGCTCGGTATGTTGTCTGTATAACACAATTGATTTGAAAGTTTGGTCTACTCTTTTTTGATTTTATTTACTTAAAGAAGCACTGCACTGTACTGATAAATTGTTAAAATAAGATTTAACTAGTCTGTACGCGTTTAAAATAGCAATGTGATATAACATCTTTTAATCTTTTGGGCTTTACCAACTTCAGATCGTTTAGTGACTTATATAGCAAGGCAATCTGCTACATTTAGCATAATAAATAGTAACATGTCATATAAGAAAGTTATATAACAAGAGATCTGGACTGGGCTTAAAGTATACCATGACTTTTTTTAGCAAAAGATAAACGTTTTAACTTAATGTTTTGATGAATTTTGAAAAATTTTCATAATTACAGTATTTTATGTCACTTCCCAATTGTCAAAAAATATACCATAGAACTCACAGTGAAACATGTAAACAACATATTACACTTTAGCATTATTTAGCAAAAACAACAATTAAAGTACTATTTATTACCATAGTTCAATTCTAATTTGGATATTTTTCAGGTGTCTAATATCCACAAGTAATGTCTACATTCAAACTAATTGACGTGCATGCAAATCTTACTAATAATAAGTACTCAGGTTGTTATGGAAATACTCCAACTAAGATTCACAAACCAGATTTACAACAAGTTTTAGAAAGAAGTTGGGAAGCGGGTTTGCAGAAAATAATAATCTGTGCTATGGATTTAGCTGAAAGTAAAAAAGCCCTTAAAATAGCAAAAAGTGATAGCAGATTGTTTACTACGGTTGGATGTGCGCCTACAAGCTGTTTACAATTTGAAGAACATGGTGAACCTGATTTATATCTCCAACAATTAAAAGATGTAATTACCTTAGGAAAAGAAAAAGTTGTTGCTGTTGGAGAATGTGGCCTTAATTGTGACATGTACTACTATTACCCAATAAAACTTCAATTGAAATACTTTGAAGTTCAAGTACAATTAAGTCAATTGTTCAATTTACCTTTAATAATTTATTCTCAGGGAGACAGCGCACCTAAAATGCTGCTCGACATCATACGTAAATATCCAGGAATAAAAGGTGTTATACATTTCTTCGATTCTACTGTAGAACTGACGAGAAAATTTATAGATGAAGGATTTTATATCGGATTGGATACATGGTCTTTCAGATCAGAACAGACGATCGAAATTGTTAAAAGAATACCTGTGGATAAAATGTTATTTCAAACAAATTGTCCAGATAGGATAATACATCGTTCCTTCCCTGCCTATTGGCATGTTTCTAGAGAGAACTTGGAGTTGTTGACAACAAATAAACGAAAGTGGAGACCCGATTTTATGGTAACTGGAAGAAGCGAACCGTGTAATATAAGGCAGATACTGGATATGGCGACTTTCGTTACCAACAGGAATAAAAACGATTTAGCAGATCAAGTTTACTGCAACACAACTCATTTGTTCAATTTTGGGGAAAATACTTAATTTTAATAATCATATTACAATATCTTTGTTAATAAACAGTGACTTTTGATCTGTTATCTCTCTCTTCAGTCTTGACTTCCTGAAGGGAGTGTAGTGGTCGTTGTGATATCGTGTATAGCCCGTCTCCATGTATTTCTGTCTTTGGCCATTTCTATCACATCATGCATAGGTATCTTGCAAGTTCCTGTGATCTGGTTATTACATCTTATTGAAGATCTTCCTCGTGGTCTTTGGCCTTCTACCTTCCCTTCAATGATGAGTTTCTACATATTGTCTATGTCTGACCTCATGACATGTCCAAAATATTTTAATTGTTGCAATTTGGTAGTCTCGTACTGATCTTTAGTTCTTTTAGAATATAAAATGTGTTACCGTGCAAAACAACTTCAGTACGTGTTAAGTTCTTGGCAGATTCTTCAATTTTTCCCAAAAAAATCCCTATTTTTTGGGTATCCGCAGCCAAATTTTATGTCATTAATTAGTCAAATATATTCAGTATACTATACAATTAACAGTGCTCCCCGAGAGAAGGCGAGAATATAACTAAATGTGTTGATTGCTTGATTTTCTTAAAATAATATAAAATATCAGTAAACATTCTTTAAATATGTAAAGAAATATTGATTCTTGTTTTAATTATTCGATTTTATCACAATCACTTTAAAAAAAATAAGGCCAATATCACAAAAATCACGATTTTGAACAAGTTGACTACTGAGCTTAGGGAAAGAACAAAACGTCACTAACAGCTATCTGCGCGCACATTCGCACATGTGCGGTGAACATTTATGGAGTGAGGATAGTAAGTTTTTGCTAATACCAACCATCATTTGTCTCTAGGATGTTTCATAAATTTTTAACTTCACTTTTGAAATTTTACTTTTGGCCGGCTAATTATTTAAAATCAACGTATTATATGTGTATCGCCTAATACTAGCCATGTGAAACAGTGGAGTTGCGCGCTAGCTCTCTTTTACTTTATATTTGATACCTCGCGTTTTTATCAGTTAATAACTCTAATTTGCGACCATTTTTTTCTCAAACAGCCTTATATCATCATATTAAAAAAAGCTTTAATTTGATATAAAAAAACATGCAGATTCGTCATGAGCAGCGTATTTTCGTTAAAAAACAAATGAACGATTTTTTTTTTAAATTAATTGCCATTAATTGAATTAAAACTATTTGCGGCCACTTTTTGACTGGTAACCTATCATCATTGTTGTGGATTCTCTTATTATTAAATGTATGAAAAAATATGAGTTTGATTAACTACGTTTTAACGTAGGTAGTGATCTTAGAGTGGGATCTTTTGCTAAAACATGAAATTTATGAGGCATTTATGCAATGTGTCTAAAAAACGCTGAATTTTAACTTTTACATTACAAACATGTCCATTACCATTCTGCATGTCTCATTTAGCTCAGTATCCAGATGTTTGGTGGGGCAGATTTGTTCCAAACAGAGCACGCATATTTTGCAGTTGAAAAGCACAGTGCTTGTACTATTATTCTTAAGGCGCCAGGACATGCAGCCCATTTATTTTGCGTTAGCTCTCTGTTGTTGCTCTCTTAGTTGTTACTTTTCCTCTCGTTTTTATACACTCTTGTCCGTATGTAGGGGACCGGTATGGTTGTATATACACTCTTGTCCGGAATAAGGTATGGTTGGGCACTTGGTATATATATATATATTATATATATATATATTATATTATATATATATATATATATATATATATATAATATTGAGAAGCATTGGTGCTAAAAAACTTCCTTGTGGGAGGCCGTCCTTTTGAATTCTCCACCTACTTACTTTGCTCTAGAAAATGACGAAAATGAAAAATGTGTTTCAGCAAAGAATGCACAACCCTAAAGTCAGATCTAAGAAAGATGCCCCTGTTATAAGTTTTTTTTCAAGTTCTCTTCAATGTGTTCAGTTAGTGCGATGATTTGGTCGGTACAAGATTTGCCGGGTCTGAATCCGTTTTTTGTGGAATGAGATGATTGTTAACATTCTTTTTGACATTTTTAGACATAATACTGCCCTAATTTGATATTCTTCTTTTTTGTGGTTATTTATCTTAATTTATGTATAAGTCACATCTTTTATTTATTAATTTTACAGATAATTCAAGTGTTTTGGCTCTTACAATTTTGATATTATTTTTAGGTAACATTCCAGAACAATGTCTACATTAAAATTCATAGACATAAAAGCAAATTTAACTAATAGTCAATTCTCTGGTGCCTACAAATGTTGTTTTAGACATCCTCCAACTCAGATTCATAAGCCAGATGTAAAACATGTATTGGAAAGAAGTTGGGATGCTGGTTTGCAGAAAATAATAATCTGTGCTCTAGATTTAGCTGAGAGTAAAAAAGCCCTAAGAATAGCAAAAAGTGATAATAGATTGTTTACTACAGTTGGATGTGCGCCTACAAGGTGTTTACAATTTGAAGAAAATGGTGAACCTGATTTATATCTTCAACAGCTAAAAGATATAATTGCTTTAGGAAAAGAAAAAGTTATTGCTGTTGGAGAGTGTGGCCTTAATTGTGACATGTATTACTATAACCCAATAAATCTTCAATTGAAATACTTTGAAGTTCAAGTACAATTAAGTCAATTATTTAATTTACCTTTAATAATTTATTCTCAGGGAGACAGCGCGCCTAAAATGCTGCTCGATATCATACGTAAATATCAAGGAATAAAAGGTGTTATACATTGCTTCAATTTTACTATAGAACTGATGAGAAAATTTATAGATGAAGGATTTTATATCGGATTAGATACATGGTCTTTCAGATCAGAACAGACAATCGAAATTGTTAAAAGAATACCTGTGGATAAAATTTTATTTCAAACAAATTGTCCTGATAGGGTAATATGTCGCACCTTTCCCGTCTATTGGCATGTTTCTAGAGAGAACTTAGAGTTGTTGACAACAAAGAAACGAAAGTGGAGACCCGATTTTATGGTAACTGGAAGAAGCGAACCGTGTAATATAAGGCAGATACTGGATATGGCGGCTTTCGTTACCAACAGGAACAAAAACGATTTAGCAGAACAAGTTTACAGCAACACAACTCATTTGTTCAATTTTGAGGAAAATACTTAATTTTAATCATCATATAAAAATATCTTTGTGAATAAACAGTGACTTTTAATCTCGATCTTGAGTATTCTTCATTTCCTGGAGGGAGTGTGTCATGATATCGTGAATAGCCCGTCTCCATATATGTCTGTCTCTGGCTATTTCTATTACATTGTGCATAGGTGTCTTGCAAGTTTCTGTGATCTGGTCAATCCATCTTATTGGAGATCTTCCTTGTGGTCTTTGGCCTTCTACCTCCTTGAATGATGAGTTTCTACATATTGTGTACTTCTGACCTCATGATATGTCCAAAATATTTTAATTGTTGCAATTGGATAGTTTCGTACTGATCTTTAGTTATTTTGGAATATAATTATTTGGTCTACGGTCAGTCTATGGAATTCGCAACATTCTACTCCAGTAGAACATTTTAAGGCGTTTATTTTTCTTCTTTTTGGTTGTCTTAATGTCCAAGATTCGCATGCATAACCTTGTAATCCTCAATCGGTGGCCACGTTGGAGCACAGGATTGTCCAGCTTTCTACCCCGAATTATTTAAATTGTTTACCAAAACGGTAATGTCTCCTCCTCCCCACTTTTGGCTTATGGGAGATACAGGCCAGCATTCTCGGATTTAGACAATTCGTCAATGTTAATAGCTTTCCTTTCTTTTTTTTTTTTCAAAAACCGTATGTTCTATTAAAAAAACATTGTCTCCACACATTTCAACTCTATGTCGAGGAGCACTTAAAACTTAACAAGTTTTATTAGGGCCTCTTTTATGAGTCACCATTGTGTAATCAGGTTTCCTCATCTTCGTAGTTTTCTCTTCAGGGCTAACTTTGTTATCAGTTTGTCTCACATTATTTCTACCTCGAGAAGTAGTTGGAGGTTTATATAGTACGAATACTTTGTCACATCCTGCTTCATATTTTTTGAGCTCTCTTCTTTCTGCTCGGGGCGACTACTGCCGAGATACCTTCTGTGTAGAGTACCCGAATGATCTTTAATGTTGGTTTTTGTCCCGATATTATAGGGACTATTAGCTGTTCCTTAGTTCCAACACTCTGATGGAACTCCATTCTCTAGTGCTTCAGCTCCTGTTTTATATGGTCGCCGGCCTTCCATCTCCTCTAGCGTGCATCATAGAAGAAGAATTTTTGCGTGCGGGTTCGTGTGTTCGGAGCGCTGACGAGACGATCCATATCGTTACAACTTTGATTGGAATACACAATTTTTTTAAAAATACTTTATATGACTGCGGGTTATTTGCTCAGAAATCGTTTTCAAATTTCTTGATGGAAATCGAATTATCCAAAGTATTTTGAAATAAAATTGTGGTCTATCCCTATAAAATATAGATTTAGATTATATATTTTATATAGTTAGATTTTCTTGTTGATCCTTTGAATCCTCCTTATTTATTTTTGTTAATTTGGTACATTCTAGTCCGTACCTACAGATCTTCCAATGTCAAGTATGATTTGAAAGAAGATGTCGCCTAGTGCCTGAAGTAGACTATTTGTGACAAAACCCGCTATGACGTCAAGGTGGAACGTCACAATGGGATACTTCAAATTTTTACTTGTTATCATTCTCTGTAAATGCAGCATTTCATCATGTAATATGGCCCAAATAAGTTTGAACGGCTGTTGAATTTTTCAAGTTTGTCCATTATTAATGTAATCCTTGATTAAGTAATTCCGGATATAAAGAGATATAAAAAGGGGTAAAATTGCGCACTTAGTTGATTGTTGAAATATTGAAAAAAATATAAACTCAAAATTCCTCATTAACATTCTTTATTCATTTGAGACAAGTCTAACAAAATTTTATTAACTAACATTAAACTTTAAATTTAAAAGGGAAATTTCTTTAACATCAAATTACTTTAGTATTATACTAAATTTTAAAAAACGCCATTGGCATACTTAAGATCTATGGTGGTAAGAATACTCACCACAGAGAGGAAGGTAATGATCAAAAACAAAATGATTGATGTTTGAGATCATCAATGTCAAACATAAATTTTGTTTTTCTTTTTGTCTCTTTCTCCTGTTTTTCTCGTTCTTTTTCTTCCAACATACGTACATATTCGAATATAACGATTCCATATAGCTGTAAAAGCCTTTTCCCTCTTGATATTCTCTCATTCCCGCTTTTGGAAGTGGTATAATGGTATTAATATCAACAATTGATTTGTTTTCAATTTAAGATCCCTCCGAACTTGCTAATATTTGAGTTAATTTTCTTCCAAAGATTCAGATGAAAGATCCTTAGTTTGAAGTGGATTTCATTTTTTTTTTCTTCGGCTCAGCTGGCGTAATATTTCTTCGGTCAGCAGATCGAATTGGAGCTTCTGTCTGCCATTTATTTTTAACTAACAAAGCCACATAAAGTTGTTCGGATATAACATCTGGATGGAGATGTTTCATTCCAGTACCATTTACCACATTCTTTATTTCTAACCAAATTATTTCTGTGTATATATTTAAAAGTTTTTTTGTATCAATGTAAATTATCGTTGTGAAATCTACAATTTTTGTAAAAATTATGAGTATAATAATTAATTTAATTTGTCATTTGTCAATCTTTAATATATAGCGTAGAATTCTTTTAGAGATATAGACTTTAAAATGAAATTGCACCAAGACAGTTTTTTTTAAATTGAGATGAAAGTGGCTTTCTTCGAAAGATAATATTTTGTATTTTCGTAATTTCTATTTAAATATTATTTTTGAACCATGATTTTCGAAATCAGGTGTCAGTCCATTTATGTAAATAGACTTTCTATACCTCTAAAAAATACACGTTCATTTACATTCATTTTGAATTTATGTTTTTAACTTTTTTATAATTTTACTTTATGCCTTAATATTAAAATCTGTTTCTTGCTAATAATTATTAATTTAATGTACTAATGTATTTATAATATACATATACACTTATAACGTATATAATTTAATGTATGATTTTTTATACTCAATTTTATTAAAGTATTATATTAGAAGTGGTTGTATTATTAAATACATAAACTCGTGTTGAAATGTCGGGACTGTGGTCTGCGGCTTGAATTGAAACTACAGTTATTTCATCAATTCGATATTTCGTTACGAAATGTATTCGATTTTTTTAAACAAATTAGATCACAGCGACATCTACGAACGATCTGAAAGGCACTGGTTTAGGTCTGTTTCCCACATGTGTTACTAGGCCCAACGAGTTTTATTATCGAACCAGATGTTAGAGATATTTTTAGTTTATCAGAATTTTAAAATATTACAGTACATGTATCTTGACATCTGATAAATTACATGTGTGGCCTGTTGTATTGGTCACTATTACACAAGAATACTGTAACTGTAACACTGCACTGAAACTACGTCCATAATATAAATGCTAACAGGTGTTTTCCCCTGCATAGATCACCACCGTTGAAACATTCAGCATAGTTCCGGTCTACTCGTTTATCAGACGAAAAGTAACTCTCAGAAGAAAAGATTCTTCTCACTTCTTATTTTAAACAAATTCTTAAAAATGTTCGCGTTTGAAATTGTAAAACGCAGTTCTTGAAGCGTTAAATGTAATGTAATATTTAATGTCATATATATATATATATATATATATATATATATATATATATATATATATATATATATATATATATGTATATATATATATGTATATATATATTCTTATTATTGTTCTGAAGCTATTTTCTTGTGGCATTTTAAATTAATTACTATTTAACTGGGAATAAGCCACAATTAAAGATAAAAATACGTTTATTGACGTTTCAATTTCCACTTCGGAAATCGTTCTCAAAATAAAAGCAGTAATTAATATATCCTTATGTTCTTGGTATTATTTTTAGGTGGTATCCAAGAGCAATGTCCACATTTAAATTAATTGACGTGAGCGCCAATCTTACTAATATTCAGTACTCAGGCTGTTATGGATATCCTCCAACAAAGATTCACAAAGCAGATTTACAACAAGTATTGGCAAGAAGTTGGGAAGCTGGTTTAGAAAGGATAATAATTTGTTCCAAAGATTTAAATGAGACCAGAAGAGGTTTAAAAATAACAAAAAGTGATAAGAGATTATTTTGTGCAATTGGGTGTCTACCTGAAAATTGTGTACAATTTGAAGACGATGGAGAAACTGATTTATATATACAACAAATAAAAGACATAATTGTTTTAGCAAAAGGAAAAGTTGTTGCTATAGGAGAGTGTGGTTTTAATTACGATATACATCATCCGTTTAGCCTGCAATTGAAATGTTTTAAAATTCAAGTACAAATAAGTGAATTATTCAATTTGCCTTTAATCATTTCCTCGAAAGGAGACTACTCCCATAAATTTCTACTGAAGACCTTAACTGCTTATCCAAAACTAAAAGCTGTTATACAATTCTTTGATCCATCTGTAGAGGTGATAAAAAAATTTGTTGAAGCAGGATTTTATATCGGACTAGATGCATGGTCTTTTGTGTCAAAAGAGACGGTTGAAGCGATTAAAATAATACCTTTAGACAAAATTATATTTAAAACAAATTGTCCAAGAAGATTAATCTTTCGCAGCTTTCCCGCGTATCGCCATGTTTCTAGAGAGAACTTAGATGATCTGTTGATAAAATAAACAAAAGTGGAGGCCTGACTTTATGGTGTCTGGAAGAAACGAACCGTGTAATATAAGACAAATACTGGATATGACGGCATTTGTTACTAACGTGAACAAAAATGAATTAGCAGAACAAGTTTATCAGAATACAATGCGTTTATTTTTTCCTAGTGAAGCTGTTTAAATATATATATATATATATATATATATATATATATATTATATATATTATATATATATATATATATGGGTTTAGTAGTCAATATTGGCCTTTAAGTAAAACTCTTTTAGGTTTGTTAAGCGTTCGAGTTTATTGTACTCTTTTTCAAAACGTACTAAAAATTAACATAAAAAACTACATTAGAAAAATAAAGTTGTTATATCTTCAATAGGCTTACC